GGTGAAGTGTAGGAGTGTGTGCTACCAGAATCCCTAAACTATTTCTTCATTACTGTGCACTGCTACTAAGGTTACACCCTACGAACGTGTTTCGGTGTAACAGAAAGTCACCAATTGGAATTACTCTACCACAGTGGTTACTATCGCCTGTATCTGTCCTCCTGCGCGAAAATGCGCGCTAATCCAAGTTCGATCCTCTTGTCGAGGAAGTAGATCTGCTAGAATGTAAACCAGAATACACGTTCAGCTGTCTGATGGTCGCCAGGAGATAATCTTTTTACGCCGTTTGGTACCTAGGGGACAGGAAAGCGATCACCCCGAGGTAATGATAAACAAATCCACAGATTTATCGGTCCCCCTCTCAAACACTCGTACGCACCCAAATCACCTTGTGTTACACGATTATTCCCTTGCTTCTCTGAAATCCGTGATTATGCTTATGGCATGCTCATCCAACAACAAAGAACAAGACGGTATTGCTTATGCAGCTTAATCTAAAAAACCACTACATCTATTCGTCATCGATCGACGCAGGAGAATGTACATTCTTATGCTGTTACTACTTTTATGCTATTGTAAGCTGTCATTGCCCTACTTCGGGTTATAACTTAATGTAGCTTGCGTACCGAAGTGTCAAGACGATTAAAGCCCAACTCTTACGCCGTCTGGTCAATGGACATAGGTACAATCTATCTGGTGGACCCTACTTAATCTCACAATAGACATAAAAGTTCGGATTAAAGAAATACGGCCTTTATTCGTCTACCACATGCGTAGCGCGTAAATTGAAATGGACCGTCAAAGAAGCGAGCTTAGCTACAGTCACGAGATACCAATAACAAGGGAGGCTAAAATTCGACGAGATTTCGATAGAAGGTGCGTGCAGGATATTCTTCGCATTGTTGGGCTACCGCCGCATGTGGGCACAAAAAGTCCACAGGATCAGCAGTTGAAGAGAAACATGGGTGCTGCGCCAGAAGAGTTTGGCAACGCCCATTTTGGTTTTTTAAAAAGTTTACCGCGATCTGCCACTTAACTGAGCAGGTTTGCCATTAAATTATACCAGGGGACGTTAATAAGTGACACCTAATACATTAGCTTCAGGGGGAAAAGTTGCTCATCTAAGTCAGAAGGATAACATTATCACCGAGTTTACTGCATAAGTTGTAACAACGACAATTCGCTCCAATTAGCCGGGACACTCTCTTCGTTCCAGATACGTTCGAATAAGGAGGTCAGTGCCCTGCAGAGGACCTCACCTCCATCCTCAAATAGTGCAGGTGGGAGGGAATCCGGGCCAGCGGCACGAAAAGGATTAAGGGCTGTAATCGCGTTTCGGACCTCGGCCTCCGACTGAGGCTATAAACTAACCGTCCGTGGCTCGTCCTGCATCACCTGAGTAGGAAGAGGTCCGGGAGCACGGGGCCAGCTGAACTGATCTGGAAAGTGTTCCGCCCAACGACCCATCCGGCGCTCCTTATTGTGTATCAGCGCAACCGCGCTGTCTCTGATTGTCTTACTGACGCCTGGTTTTCTGGGACCAGTGGTGCGGATTAGCTGGAAGAGCTGGCGGTAATTGTCTACTGCTCCTGCCTCCTCCTATTCTTGAGCCCTACTGGTCCACCAGTGGACATAACAACAAATTTGTTGGAGTCAATATTTCACATAACACCACGACGCGACGCGAAGACGCAGTGGCTGCTCTCCTTTGACCTTAGATATCGCAGTAAGCGGATATGGTCACATGTCAGAGATACATACAGAAGCTCCCATAGATAAGAATGACCAGTGCGTTCTAACCTCACTGAATACCGCGAGGTTTTCCGCAAAATCTCGACTGTTGAGGAACTTCGGTCACGTTAACCTTAATCAGTTAATGGACAGAGCGCTACAAACCAACTGGGTTCCCGAACAAGCGCATGCCACACCAGAACAGCGATGGAGCGTAACAAGAAATGGGCTTGTTTAGCTTCTGGACGAGTTTGCTCCGTTGCGCTGCAAGAGACATATCAACAAGCCCCACTGGTGGCGTCGGAAAATTGATCGGGAGATAAAACGCCGCAATGATTCCTGAATAAAGCTTCAGGAGGTTGGAGGGTTTAAGTGTTGGCTATATCATAAAAAATGTCAGAACTTGACAGCAAAATTGCAGAAACATGCGAAATACTGCTATAAGCTTAGGTTAGTTCGGAATGCAAAAGCAAGACCGAAGAGGTATTACAGTTACGTTCAGTGGAAGGCTTCTTTGAGGGTGTTTTACTTAATAATGAATGACGGCAGTCACAGAAGATGCGGAAAGCACAGGTGTTGCTGCGTCTTTCAAGACGTATCTGGCGCGAATAACGGGTGTCCTATCCCTTTGAAGCTCCATCGTCAAGTTGAAAGTATGATGCCAAATGATCCATTAACAGCGTCAGAGGTCCTTGATATCTTGACAAGCTTGAACCCCTAACAACCGACTGGATTTGATAATGCACATACTGCTATTGTCAAGCCGCTCGCCAAAATGTTCCAGCTTCCTGTGTTGGACCTGTTCAACATGTCGCTTCGGGAAGGTAGGCTGCCACAGGACTGGAAAGAGGCAGTTGTTGTAGCAATATACAAAGTGGCTCTAAACCTGTCACTGTCAAATATAGACCCGTCAGCTATACAAATGTCGTGCTCAAATGCCTGGAAAAGTCTATCAAGAACCGAATTTGTGGACATAGTCGCACATAACCCGATAGGGGCAGAGCAGCACAGCTTCGTCAAGCCGTCTCACAAATATATGCCTTTTGGATGAGATAACCTGCTGTCTGTACGATGGAATTTCAGTAGTAAGTTGCTATCTAGACTTTAGCAAGGCTGTTGGCTCAGTTAAGCACCGTTTCTTGCTGGAAAAGTTGGCATGATTTGGGATACATACCCCAAATAGTATAGGACAGCAGAATTCAATTGCAGGAGAGCCTGCTGTATTGAGGATGGTTACTCCAGCCCAAGGACAGGCACCGCTTACAGGGTTCTTTTTTAGGCTCGTTATTGTTCCTTACGTATATGAGTTGGCTCCTCTCCTTGAATATTCTCGCTATATCTTTGCGGACGATGTAAGACAGAGGCAATCGAAACAAGCTATCGAAATATCTTTGCACTGTGGCGAGGTGACCGTCGTTATGGGACTTGATTCTTTACGCCAAAATATGTCAAATATTATCCTCTAGCATCAAAGGGGTTACAGTACAAACTTCTGGCGGTACCTTAACGATGGGTTGCGTTGATTAAGTACGCGATCTGCGTATCATTGTGAGGAATAATTGTAAATCATCAGCACAGTGTCAGCACGCAGCGAACAAAGCGCGGCAAGAGCGTTAGCAAATCCAAACCTGAGGTTTTCCAATGTCTTATGTAGGGCGGTGGTACAGCCTCAATCAGAATACTGTGTGCAGGCTTGGGCACCGCATCGCCGGTAGGAAGTCGCTTGCATAGAAAATATCCAAAAATTGGCGACTAATATGATTGAGAGTCAGCGTGGGAAATCATGATGTTAGTCTTAGGAGTCTAGGGTTTTTTCCATAGAACAGCGCAGATTGAGGCAAACTGAAGGTGCAAAATTTTGAAGCGCCTCAGTGGTAACGGGCTTTTCGACCAGTTGGAACCAGGTGCCACAGACAACCTGCGGTAACACGGGACTAAGCTTAAGCATCAGAAGTCCAGACTAGGAATAAGGGCTAAATTCTTTGCGAATCGTGTAGTTCATAGTTGGAACAAGCTTTGTTCTGCCTTAATTGGAAGCGCACCTGTGGAAACCTAGAAAAAAGACGGATAAATCTTAGTTAGATCTTTCACCGGAATGGTAATTTTATTGACAATTGTCAGACCTGGTAGTTTATGATCCAAGAAAGCACACGAATTGCTTTTGTTCATTCTTCAATGAAGTATAAGCAGGGGAAGCAAGGCAGAGGTAGAAGTATTGGAGGTCCTGGTTTGCATGACGGTACAAGAAGCAGGATACTCGTTAGGCGGAAGCCTATTTCGTTTTTGGTATCTGACCTGATCTCATCCACGGGAGGCTGAAGGCGGGATAGTGGATCTCGAGATGCTTGCCACTGTACCGCTTCTGGCCTACAGGGTAGTTTGGCTGATTTCCAACATTTAGAACATATCCTGACAAGGTGGTGCATGTCTACATACCAGACCAGCAGACAAATACGTGCGGTGGCCTTCATCCTGCTGTTGCTCCGATGACTAGAACAGCTGAGCGTACGGATCGGCACCGCAGCTCGGTCGGCTAAGAGACGACAGAAAAACGATGTACAATAATACGCGGCGAAAAGAAGATGCAGTTCGTCCGAAAATCTTGTAGACCAGCGCGTCCAGGAAAAATGAATTGTACGTTAATGTTCCTGATCGTACGCGGTTGCGTGAAAAATTTGGGCAGATCCAACTGGAATTCGAAGGAAGAGATATCACAGCTGCTGAAAAACATCCTCCTCAATTCGTGAAGGAGTAATAGCCGTGTATAATTATTGCTGATCTGTCTCAATTATGCCGAAAATAAACCACAAAAAATTCAGATCACACGGAAGGCATGGGAGGTCGATAAAAATGAGCTGTCTTAACTTTATCAGAGTAACTGACAAATGTGTTCGAAAAACTAGAATCTGAACTGTTGCACATAATACTTATAAAACACCATTTCGATGCCATTAGTTAAATGTATAAATGAAGGTGAGCACCTTACCGCAAAAAGCCTAATAACGGTCGTGATGGTATTACAGATATGGATAGAAAGAAAAACGGATGTAGAATTTCACACACTTAAAGAGACGGCTTAATCGCAAAATGCTTGAATTAGCTTCTGCTTCTGCTACACGACATCGCGAAGCAGCTACAGTATTTACCTTGCGGCCTAAAGGGCACAGAAATCGAAACTAAGTAGCAACGCATACGGCACAATGAAAACGTGTTTTATCCAACGATCGTAAAGAGCAGGTCGAGATATAAAACAGAAATAAAGTACTGACCTAATGGGGTTGTAGAACATAAGTTCAAGGCATTGTTTGCACAGACAGCCTCCAATTGTAACAAACAAGTAGAACACCTGCCTAATCGGCAGCAGCCACTCCGGTTACCACGTAGTAAAATGCAGTTGGTGCATTAACGTGTTAACAGTGGACCGGTGGAAAAATCAAACGCTCGTAAACAAACAAACGACATAACCGATAAGCTGCCGGTATGCTGTCATGGGAAACTGGTATGAAGGTGTTTAACGTGCCATCTGACCTTGGGAGGCTTGCCTAAGACACACACCGAACACAACCTAGAATCAAAGCTAAACATATCCACAGATTCCGGCATCAGTCAATCTAGCATAGTAAGCAAGTGAACATGTACCTTACAACGTAACGCAGGGGGGAAAACGACGGTAGACAGAGGAATAAAGTTCGCTAACGTCCTTGACGGTCAATATGGAGTACGTCAAATGGAGTAGCAAGACATTACGACTAACTTAAACAAAGTTGCCTACGCCGTGTAATTGCCGTGATTCAGGAATAGGTTAAACATTAAAACGAACAAAGATTTAGTATTGTTTATGAGGACTACAAACCGTTTTTGTTTTAACACATATAAGTCAACGTCAGTTGGATGGATATAATTAGTGTGCGAAATGGAATATTTACTGCCAGAAAGTTAAGATACGGAAAACCTAAGAAAGCATTATTTTGGTTATCTCTGTGCTATAATACTGCAACAACCATGCTGTTTAATGGTGAATGTTCGCGAATCCACATAGGCAGACCCATAAGGGTTTCTTACGTGCTCAGCCCTAGTCATTGAGTTTATTTAGTTGGGGAGAGCAAGCGAAACTCCGGTGTCAACTAGAGATTCTGACGCATTCCGATTCTGTTGCGTGACACTGCATTACTGCGTTCCTCGAGGACTGGCCGCTATTATAGTGACGACGGCATATGTTAATAACCATTGGGTTATCGAGAACAGAAGGAAAGTACTTTGTCAGCTCCTCTACTACCCGATCATTTTATGGGTGTTGTTAAACTATGCGGGTATTTCACAATGGTAAGTGACAGCTTCATTGTAAGCAGCAAGGTCACAGCCTGCTAATCAAGTAAGAATCCAAAAGTCACTTGCGGCATTCCTTGGACTCTGGGTCGATCAAATATTTTGGCAAACCATACTAGACATTTACAGTGCGGGTTGGTTGCGCGAGCACATAGCAAGTTATGCGTTTTCTGGGTTTAAACTCTTTCCATTTGTTCCCCCGAGTTGAACTATTAGAGTTCATTTGAAAGAACGCTTGTGGCTCCATCCCCATCGCGCCCCTCGGGACTCACTTGGTAGAATTCGGGTCACTGCGACGTTGTCGATATTCTAGGAAGAACAGTTTCATCCGCTAAAAGCGAAGAGAGGAAGAGAAGACCATTAAGTTTTGGAAGCCATTTCGAACCACACTGCAAGACCTTCACAAGCATGTAACATACGATATTGTTAAGAGGGCAGGTGGAGGGGACTCCTTGTCCGAGGGTCAGACGCACATGAGAAGTAAAAGGGAGTGATGATTACCGAATTCTACCGCGAGCAAGCCCACTATACGGTACGAGACATGCGTATGGAAGTGGAATCCCTCCTTATTATTTTTCAGTGTTCCGAAAAGCTTGTGAGACAAGCATTCCATGAGTTTTCTCGAGGATGGGTTTTCTAAGCAACATTCCTCCAGTTTAGTATGTCGAAACGGTTCGGAGGCACTTGTGAGGAATCCTGAAGATCTTTTCTTGCGAATTACATCTTGACGGAACACACATTTGGTTAGTGCAAGGTTGCTTGCAATCTGTCAGCATTCTCGAGAGAACATACCTCTGTTCACAGATGCATGTTAACAGCGTAAATCAGGCAATCCAAATGAAATTCCCCTGGGTGGTCATTGCTGAATAGCTTGAGCAGTGCTGTACCAGGTACCGGCACTTGTAGGTCTCCGCCTGTCAGGAGCGCAGTAGCGGAGTTTGCCTCGCTTATGGTGACTCGCATGGTCCGGCTATGTAAGAACTTGGCGCTTCAAGAAAGGACAGTCTCAGTGACACGTGTACCTAGGAGTATAAGGACAAGCCTTTCATGAGTAACATTATCAAATGCCTTGCTGCTGCGTACAAAGCCACCTCCAGACGCTATCCAGTACTTAACGACCTCGCCCGGGTCTCCCTTGCACCAAGCGGTTACGAAGTCTATGAGCGTGCACGCTGAAAGCCACGCAGAAAGCCAGGTTATCGAATTGAAGATGAAGAGACCGTTTGAGGATCCCTCTCATTTACATACACAGTATGTACGTTTGACATATAGGTTGACTTTTGGCCGCACTTTGACGATCCACAGTGCGAGCTTTCCAAGCAATCGTGAATCGTCCAGCTTCAACGGAGGGACGAGATAACTGACAAACGTGAGTGGAAATGTAGCAGCCAGATGCTTGTGGAACAGTGGTTGCAGCCCATTAGGACCAGGCGAAAAGATCTTTGGCAGCGATATTCTCACTCATTTCTACGTGCTACAACGGGGAACAGTGAATTAACGCACTACCACCGGGTAACGGGTTCTGTATCGAGTAGGCAGATGAATAATGCATTATAGTCAAGGAAACAAACTTGCTTTGCAGAAAGCATAACAGGAATGACACTAAGAGCTATGCTACAACTTTTTATCCAAGATTTGATTGCCTTCAATGCTATGCTGGATACTACAGCCAAACTGAGGGAATACTTATGCACTTTGTGAAGTGTTTTATAGCAATTTTCATTTCTGATCACATTGTGCTCCGAATGGCCGAGCGCGCAGTTTGGGAGCCTAAATCGTTCATCTAATTTATGTCTTTAGGTCATTAGACCCCTCAACGGAGGGCTTCTGATATTCATTATCCACTTACTCGTAAAGCTAAATCAGCTTGGAGTTGGAAAGGAGGTTATTCAAACAGTTTCATGATGCTCTTGCCACCGTAGAGTATAAGCAACGATGCCTTACCTATCGCATCGAGCAAGGTGGGTGGGAGTTCGGGTGCGACTGCTCAAGCCTACCCATCTTCCAATTCCGCCGCTTACGCTTTTCCACCCTTTACGTCCCGTTACAACTTCACTTTTATCCCACTGTACTCAACCCAAAACCTTGGACCACCCCACCTTGCGTTGATAACCTCTTACTTTCTAGTTTCAACTCCCAATTGAACGCGGCGCGTCATTCCCGCCCTGTCGACAAGCCCGCGTCCAAGAAAGTGTTCAAGCCCAGTGCATCGGCTTCTCTTTGGTGAGATTGAGCTTTCTACAGGCAGCACTTGCTAGAACTTTAGTGGCCCTCACGAGCGATATCTGCTGAGTAGCAGAGACCCACCTGCAAACCTGCAGCTCTGTACTCATTTTGATACCCCTTCAGGTGACACTAGCATTATTTTCTCATTAGGCCCGTCCGGTGACGATGCAGCTTTGGGCACCGGTCAAGCTAGTGTTAGCAGCACCCTGAGTCCTCGGGCTAAAGTTGCTCTAGTTGATTGCGACCCAGTCAGTAACCGGACGTATGCGGTCCGTTTGGCTGACTCGTTCGACGCTCCGAAGTCCCGGGGGGCTTACTGGCGTCTATTGGTCATCGCTGCCTATGTACCCACAAGCTCTAGCGATAAATTGGCAAAAGACAACCTTTTCGCCAATTGAACGAGCTCCTTCGCCACAGAAGTAGCAGGGAGGTGGATGTGCGGGATGGAAATCAAAACGATGAATTTGGACGGTTATTCACTGATGGACTGATTCTGAGTGGACAACACGGTGCAGGCTCCCGTAAAGATTGCGTTGGGCGGTTACTTTATTTGTGTGAAGATTCCCGCTTATTTCTTGTCAGCACTACTTTCCGACACAGCCCCCGCCAGGTAGTGGCTTGGCGCCCACCAGTTCGAACCAGCAAGGGACGCAAATTGATCGCTTTTCGATAGGTTAACGCCGGAGCGGCTGCAACTAGAACTGTAGCTTGATTTGGCGCATAGGTGTGGACACTGACCATGCACTTCTACGGGCTGATCTGCAGATGCGTTTGGCGGACGCTAACGACTACGCCGTGGAAGCATTTCCGCCAGATACTTGGCGAAGCCAGCTGGTCTGAATGCCTATCAAAGTGCGCTGTCATGCCAGTTCAGTAAGACCTCCCTTTATACAATTTAAACTTACAAGTATCATGTTCACGAGACATCACTAGCAACAGGCAACTCCTCATGTGGTAAGTCTATTGGTCAACGAAGACATTGGTCTTCTTCGCATTTGCTAAAACTCACCAATGCTCGCCTGCACGTCTAGGCTGATAGCGAAGCAAGGTGGCGCACCAAAACCTGCGGGTAAAACTCCGTGCTAGCCTGAAGAGAGGCGGCAAAGTTTGGTGATCTCATGGTGCACCAGAGATGGAAGTGGCCGCTGCCCTTCGTAACCAGCAAAGTTTACTCCGTGTGCTTCGGGAAACAAGCAGCAGGAGACCTGGAGTTGGTGAAACAATTTGTGACGAGAGTGGACAGCCTAGCCACAATTTGTCAAAATGTTTGGAGCGTTGGGCTGAGCACGCTGAAATACAATATTAGCGGCCGTGCTTGGCAGTTTATTCGCTAGCCACCGATCGCTCTGCTCTATGGGATGTCCGTTAGCATACGCCCTTCCGTTTGGAAGGACTGCTGAAATCGAAGAAAGCCGCGGTACCGGCTGTTGTTCAACGAACCCACTTCAAAATGGGGGCGTGCCCTTGTGAATGATTCATATGAGTTACACGGGAAACTGTGGGAGCAGGAATCTGTCCTAACCGGCTGGAGCCGTTCAGTCATAGTCCAATTAGCAAGGGAGTCTAAGGATCAGTTTTCCAAAACCATAGAGGGGTCAGTCTGATCTCTCTCACCTCAAAATTCCTTGCTTAAGCCATATTTCACAGAGCTGGCACTCTTGAAAACCAGCTCCTTGACGAGCATGTTTGATTTCCTCGAGGTCGTGTCTGTATTTACCACATCTTCATTGGGCTTTAGTGGTTGGAGCACCGTCACATATATTGGCGACCTACCGTTGTCGTGTTTCTCGATAGCAAAGTTGCGTACGATTCCGTGGATAGATTTCCCTTGAGACTTTCTACTTAGGAAAACAGTGCCCGAGAAATATGTAAATATTTTCCGCGCAGTATACGCGGCTAGCTCGGGCAGAGAGATGGTTTACGAGCCGCTGTCATTGCCCTTCTATAGTACCAACGGGGTGAGACAATGGGGTTGTT